TTGGCCATGACAGTGCAGTAGCACTCTGATAGATTTGGGGGTGACAAACTGGGTCCCCACGGCAGGATGTCACCGTTAGCACAAACAGATGATTGCCTGTCCATTGCCACTCCCCCCCAGCAAGGCAGAGCTGACATGAGGCAGAGAAGTTTTGCTCCACTGTGCTCAGAGCCAGCTGCCAGTTTCAGTGGCAGCTTGTGCCCTTCCCTTTTCTGGGGATGGGGACATTTGCATTCCTGGGTACAGCCTGTTCAGTTTCTGCTCCCTGCTGGGCCTCCAGCTGCATCAGCTTCCACCCTACACGAGAGAAAACCAGTTTCAATGGGTGGGGTACTGGTCCCTCCTGGCAGCCTTTGGAGCCCTGGGGAAAACCCCAGCTGGAAGAGCGTTAGAATGCGTCAGTTAACCCTGCCAGGTGCTAGGGCCTATTGTCCTTAGAGAGGAGGCAGTGGATGGGTCCCTAAGGTCACATCTGGGACACACACAGCCCTGCCCTCCCACTGGGTGCTACCAAGTGCTTTGTGGGGCAGATACTGCAGCTTCCTGCCCAGCTGCCCAGCCCAAGATCACTGGGAAGCAGGCACCCTTGTAGCGGAGACTCTCTATTTCGCCCACCTAGGGATGGATACCTCTAAGGGAGCTTTGATATCCAGGAGTGTACCTTCATGGAGATGGACTTTGAGGGGGATGCTGGGCTTTGGAGCAGGTCACCACCAAAGAAGAGAAAGCATGTGATATTGGGTGGCCCAGGATAAGGTTTGGGCTTGAAAGCCTTCATGAAAAACCAGGCTATTACCATGAAAAATCAGGCTGTCAGCATGGGTGACATTGTATCAACCTCATGAATTCACAGCAGGGTTGATGGGAAGAAGGGAGGGGTATCTCTGGGCTTTACTGTAGGGTGCCCCCAGGGGGCTTGCTTTTTCTTTTATGCCCATTCAACCATCAAGCACCCCTGACTCCCAAGGTCAACGAGAATGCATTCAGGAGGCCTGGCCAACCTCTCTTATCAGCAGCTCAGTCTTCCATGGGGCAGTAGTTGTCTCCGATGACCATTTCCACACACCAGCTGTGGTCCAGGTCGGTCTGGATGGAGATAGTCAACGCCAGGATACAGCTAGAGGGAAGTCACATCATTTTCTAGATTTGAAATGAGTTGGGGACATGTGGCTACCCTACCCAATTGTGGTGTCTGTGAGGAGATGGCCCCTCTCCTGTAAGCTCGGCTCTCCATCCCAGTTGAGGACAGATGGTACCACCTCCATTACCTGGAGTGGCACTGTGTACCTCAAGGGGCCTTGGGTCTCAAAAATCAACAAGGAGTGGATCCTGCTTGTGGAAGGAGGGGACAGGAGACTGAGAGGTGCCAAGAGCCAGGAGTCCCAGAGCTACCTCACGGGTCTTCCTTCCCTGTCTTATGAAGATAGAGAGTGACTATGGGGGATGGGGAGAAGGAAGAGAGAGATAGGGGAAGGACCACTGGTTGCTATGGCAGTGGCCCTTGGTTGCTGAACCCAGAAGGTGAAAACACAGGGCATCTTTGGGCAGAAGGAAGGGGGTAAGTGAAGATGACTATGGAGAAGGACATGAGCCCCAGGCCACCCACCACAGATGGGTGGATCCTATGGGTTAGGAGCTCTGAAGCAGAAGAAGGCAGGCAGAGCCAAAACTTGACAGCATCCTCAGGCCACATAAGACCCGCTTTGCCTCATCCACCTCATGAGAGGAGCCAAGAGCCAGGAGTCCCAGAATTACTGCATGGGCATTCCTTCCCTCTCTTGTGAATATAGAGAGTGACTGTGTATGTCAGTGTCTTCTGTGACACCCCACCCCTCCATACATACATACCTGCTCCATCTCCGGAGGGTCACTCCATCCAGCTGTCACCCCCAGGGGCCTTTCCGGCCCCACCTGTCCCTCATTGCCACCCCTTCCTGGACTCAAGGCAGCAGCTAACCTGAGCTCTGTGAGGTCCCTGCAGGAGCCCAGGGCCAGGCACATGGAGGCCTCCCTGCCACCAATTTGATCAGATAGAGGGTGTCCTGTTTTCTGTTGCTGTAATATAAAATACCCTGACAAGCCCAGCGTGGTGGCGCACTCCTTTAATCCCAGCACTCGGGAGGCAGAGGCAGGCCGATCTCATGTCAGTTCGAGTCCAGCCTGGTTTACAAAGTGAGTTTCAGAACAGACAAGGCTGTTACACAGAGAAACCCTGTCTCGAAAAAACAAAAAAAACAAAAAACAAACAAACAAACCCACCCCAATTTAGTGGGGGGGGGGTTGCTTTAGCTCACAGTTCCAGGCTATGGTCCATCACAGCAGGAAGTCAAGATGGTGGTGTGTGTGTGTGGGGGGGGGGGTTGAAGCAGCTGGTCTCATCCAGAGTCAAGAGCAGAGAATGCATGCTTGCATGCCTGCACCCGGCTCACTTTCTCCTGTTTTGTATGGCCCATGACTCAAACCCAGAGAATAGTGTCACCCACTTTTAAGCTCAATTAACATCATCAAGACAGTTGCATGCGGATGTGCCCACAGGTCAACCTACCTGATCTGGACAATCCTCCACAGAGACTCTCTTCCCGAGTTATTCTAGATGGTGTCACCTTTGCAGTAAAGACTAACCGCCGCAGGTGGATGATTGGATGAGTGAGAGCGTGCGTCAGCTTCAGCATAAGCACTGGCTGGCCACCACAAGAACCCCCACCAACCCCCGCAGGAGGTGCAGCGAAAGTGTGGCAGACATTTCAGAAGCAACCAGCCATTGACCTTCCCCAGGACAGACCCACCTACCACTCCAGAAAGTGGGGAGCTGTCCGTCAGCTCTGCCCTGGGTGAGAGGGATCCCAAGACCACCCACAGCCTCACTCAAGGACTGTGCCCACAGAGGGCCTGGACCAAGGCCAGCCAGCTAGACCCACAAGGTGACCACAAAGCAGCTGCCACTGACAGCCGTGGTGGCCAGCAGTACAAATGGCTCTGGGGATGACAGAGGGAAGAGGCTTCAGGCTCGGCCTTGTACGGGGCTCTTCTGGAAGGAGGGTAGCGTGACACCCTAGATGTCCCCCGAGAGAACACAGTGGGGACTGGGATCACCCACCTGCTAAAGCCTCCCGTCTGCACCTGCCTGGAAGAGCTGGACAACCTAGGGACACGGGCAACCAGACAGAGAGGAGAGGACCTGGTGTCCTCAGCTCTTGGGAGACAAGTGCATCACATTTGGCTGCAAGCCATGGGATGGCCCCTGCAACCTCTGCAGGGCAGGCTGCCTCTGGGGGCCCTGGGACGGCTTGGTTTGTGGTTTTTCCAGAGCTGGGGCTTCTGCTAATTCTAGCTTTCCTCCATGTCTGCCTGTACTTAGGTGTCCGCTCCAGCGATGCTCATGGCTGCCTAACAGATCCAGCAGTGGGATATCACAGTGTCTTCTGAACACTGAAAGCTCTCCATTCCATTTCTTATCTTTCCTCTTTCTTCCGGGAAGACTCCCGCAAAAATGTGATCTTATCAAAGCGGTTCTTATTTACTTTCTCCGAACCTGACTCTTCACCTGCTGAAAAGCCAGCCTCTCCTCCCTGGGTCCATACAGGGCTCTGAGGGAGTCTGCCAGGGAGCCTCAGCCACACTCTCCCTCTGCCTTCTTTCCCTTGCTCCGTGGGCAGGGCTCTGGGGTCTACACCCTGACTGGCCAGCTGACAGCCATCTCCCCAACCTTGGTCCAAGGCTTCTACCTCTTCCTGTTCCTGTCTCAGACACCCAGTTACAAACTGGGAGTGCTTCTGAGACTCCTGACTTCCACTGCCTCACATTTTAAGCCACTGATCAGGTAAGTGCCCTGCTGGGCTCTGCAGTAGCTCCAGGTTGGATAGATGGCTGAGAGCATATCCTGAGGGGTTCTGTTTCAAAACCCACACTGTGGCGGTTTGAAAGAGAATGGCTTCCAAAGGGAGGGGCACTATTAGGAGGTGTGGCCTTGTTGGAGTGGGTGTGGCCTTGTTGGAGGAAGTGTGTCACTGTCGGGTGGGCTTTGAGGTCTCCTACGCTCAAGCTGCTCTCAAGTGTGACAGTCAACTTCCTGTTGCCTGCAGATCAAGATGTAGCAGCTCCTTCTCCAGCACCTGCCTGCACGCTGTCATGCTCCTCCCCACCATGATAATAATGGACTAAACCTCTGAAACTGTAAGCTGCCACTTCCATTAAATGTGTTCCTTTATTAGAGTTGCCGTAGTCATGGTGTCTCTTCACAGCAACAGAAACCCTCACTAAGACACACACCATGTGCATTTGACCCAGCTCCAGCCATGTCTTGAAACAGCTGAGCAGACCCCAGGGGCTGTGGGCCAGGAAGCATTTCGTTATCTGAGCTGCTCCAAGTGTGCCTGGGCTAAGCCAGTCTGGGAACTGCTTAGTACTGACCAACCTAAAGGGACTAATACCGAGCAATCCGACAACTCTCACAGAAGACCTACTCACCCCCAAACAGGATGGAACCTCATCTACAGAGTCCCTGTCTAGACTTGACACCCTGGAGCTGCCTGGAGAGTTCAGAGGGACATGGTAGCAGGGGTCCTGGGATTTCCCCCATCCACAGGGTAGGATTAGAACCAGAGTAAACACCAAGTGTGCAGTGTTGGGGGGGCAGCAGAGCTCCGGGTCCACGTGCCGCATGCACAAGTTATACACGTACCCTACCCACTCCCAAACATACCACGGGCACACTTTGACAAACGCTGTCAGGGACATGGCACGGACCAGACACAGGCTTGCATATATGTTGCACGCACCACACATACTTAAACACATGCATATGTGTTCACATATTCACACAAATTTATACATACCCCACACATTTATTCACACATCCATTACACTCAACATATCACCTCTTGTACACAGACACATTAATGCACACACATTCATATATACCATATAAACACATTATCACACACACACACACACACACACACACACACACACACACACACACACGTGCTGGGAAGAGCCAGTCAAGTCACTGCCTGGAGTAGGCAGTGGATTGATTATAATGGGCTACGGCTGGCAGTTCTAGATGGTTAGAAGCACAGGATGGGTTGGACATGCCAGGCACAGGATAGACACACGGGCCAGTCCCTGTCACAGGTAGGGCTTCTGGTGGCGAGGGAGTGGGCCCTCACAGCTGGCCCGAAAGGGAAGCAGTGTGATGTCCAGGACATTTCACGGCCACTGGGCCAGGGGAGCAGCTACGCCGCCACACGGCATTCTTCCTGCTGGACCTGTCTGTGACCGCCTGATCAGCATCTTCCTTGCCCTCAGGGGCCAGGTGCAGAACTCAACAGACACAGCCAAAGCCCTGGGCAGTGGAGACTCCGCATCAGGACGGCTGTGAGTGCTGGGAGACTCGGTGTAGCCGGCCCCTAGGAGAGCAAGAAATCGAAGGCCTTTTCAATGGGACCAGCCCAGCCACCCCAGGACAGTCCAGGAAGCCCAAGTCAGAGCCCAGTGTCCTTGCCCAGGAGGGCCCAAGGAAACCCTTGGAAACAACCAGAGGGAGGGGCTGTGGTTCATCTGCGTTCATCAGAAGAGAAATTGAGGCAAAGGGCAACAGAGACACAGATCCGAAGGCTTTCCACTGGCCAATGTCACAGGTGCCCCTTCCTAACTCTGAGACAGCTGAGGCCCTCATCAGCATATGTCCCCTTGGGCCTAGAGCTCTCTGCACCACACCTCAGCTCAAGGGAAAACTAGAGACCTGCTCCCTGAGCCTCAGAAGGGCCGAGGGCTGCTCTCAAGCACCTGGCTTTGGAATTTGCCATGTCACTAGCTCCATGGGAGCTCAGAGGCTGGAAGAGAAGAGCAGAGCTTGCGGTGTGCTCACCTTGCTGCAAATGAGTTTGCCTAGCCAGTTCCTGGGTCCGGAGGACGGAGGACATTGGGAGGAACATGGGGCCCCAACCCCAGGGGCCTAGCAGCCCAGTGAGCCTGAAGGAGAGTGACAAGCTGGTGGTTGTCACACAGTATTGTGATGCAAAAGCTAAGTGACAGCCGCACTTGGCTTTATTGTGGGTTACCCATGTAGTTCCCCCCAAACACACACACCATGGACCTACCTCCACCACACACACCATGGACCCATCTTCACCACGCACACCATGGACCCGTCCTTACCCACCATGTGTACTGGAAGCTTCCAGCAGACCTAACAGCCATCAATCAACTTGCTTATTCCAGATGGCAGTGTCTCAGACAAAAAGCATCATGCATTATAAGAAGAAAGGTTCTGAGGGGCTAGAGGTAAGGGGGACAGGGGTGGGCATAGTCCCCTAAGTCCTATGGTTTCTTTGCTCCGAGAAACACCCTGTTCACTTCTTCAGGGAACCAAGCTATTCTGTGAGTCAGGTGCCTGCCCTGATGAGATCAGGCACCTTCTACATCTCCACGGCGCCTGCAAACGTCATCGACACTTCGACTCTGAGATGATGTCAGGGCTAGAAACCAAGGGGCCGGTGATGAACTTCCTGGAAGCAGCTCTCCTCTCTCTCTCTGGCCCCCCACCCCCCACCCCAGGTCCCAGACCCAAAGGAGGGTCCATACAACCAGCGGGACCAGGCACTTCGCTCGCCGGTGTCTGCCAGGAGATGGTTGCCAGGCTAAAATAAGCAGCATTGTTCAGCCGACGCGGCTTTGACGTCTCTGCCAGCTGGCTTGTTTCAGAGGACAAGTCCACACAGGCATTGCTCCTCTCTCAGGCCCCAGGCACACACCCACATTCGGTGGGGCTTGTGCACCCTCAGGCAGTCACGTAGGGAGATGCTGCTGAGCTGGCCTGGGGAGGAGCTGGGCCTGGGAAGTCCAGGGCCAGATCCCAAGGGGCCCTCAGGAATGCTCCCCCTGCAGAGCATTGCCGGGGACAGCTTCCTGTGGGATTCATACCGCCGCCTCCCATTCGGGGGCAGACTGGCCTCTGAGCCAGAATGTGGAGAACGAGGGTGGTTTCTATGTAGAAATAGTGTGTGGGAGGGCACAAGCGAGGCTGGATACGTGCAAAGGCTCAGGAGACCTAGCCAGAAGGTTGTCCTGGGGCCACGTGCAGGGCTACTCGCTCCTTTGGGCAAAGCCCCCTCCAGAAGGGCTCACACACAGCCTCCCATGTCCTCCTGAAGGCCAGCTCTCCTGTCCTTATCCTTATTGGTTATAGCATCCTGGGGACACTGCAGCCAGGATGGTCTGGTTCCACTACTTCTTCTGAGAGGCATCAAGAGGACAGGAAGGACAGTGAACACTAAGCTAGCCACAGGTGGACCGTAAGTATCCCCAGAGTGTCTGTGCAAACCTGTTTTCTGCCCTAGCAGGAAGGAGGAAGGGGGGCAGTGACATGTTGGAACATGTCACTCATGCCTGAGATGGCTTGGGAGCTTTGAAGAGCTGGACCAAATTCAGTGTGGGTTCAGAACGATGTCCACAGGTGAAGGACCAAGCTGGTCAACAGAATGTGGAGAGCAAAGAAAACAGTCAGGAGAGGAGAACTGTGACAGCCACCCAAGAATATGAGACCAGTGTGGCTACAGAGGACCAAGTTTCATCCACGGGCACCTTATTACAAAGATGCATCTGAGGTTGTGCCTCATCCTGCACCCCTGCTAGCCTGAGTGACTACTGGAGACCAAAGTCTCCTAAGGATCATTGCATGTGACATAAAAGAATGAAGGACTCAGGTATATCAATCACTGCCCATCCCCAACATCTGTCACTCAAGCACTTTGGAAGGCCCTTCTTCTTCCATGAGACTAACACACACACACACACACACACACAGACACACACACACACACACACACACACACACACACACACACACACACACACAAATGCCCCTGCCAGGATGAACTTTATCTGACTCTTGGCCAAGGGGACCAGATTGTTAACATCTGTCCTGGCTGGAGCACATGGGACTTCCCTGCATCTGGAAAAGACAAGATCAGAGTTATCATTATGGAGGAACTATTGCCCTGCTCCTCACCACTTTTTTTTTTCTTGACAAGACCTACCCAGTCAATAGTTCAGCATGGAGAAGAGGGGAGGGGGTTACAGGCTCCCACCTGTGGCCAAGGAGCTGTTGACCACCACTGATGGCTGCTGGGGAAGGGAGATTCTTCAAGAGTGTGGCCCCTGGTAGGTCAACCACTGTCCAGTGGATGGTCTCACATTCATCCTTATAGGTGCAGCACTAATTGAATTAGGTGGGTATCTTCATGGATGTGGAGTTTCTATTGCTGTGACAAAATGCCATAACCCAAAAGCAAATTGGGAAGGAAAGGGCTCACTTCAGCTTACACTTCCACATCACTGTTCATCATCAAAGGAAGTCAGGACAGGAGCTCAAATGCGGCAGGAACCAGGAGGCAGGAGCTGATGCAGAGGCCACGGAGGAGTGCTGCTTACTGGCCTGCTCAGCCTGCATTCTTAGAGAACACAGGACCACCAGCCCAGGGATGGCATCATCCACAATGAGCTGGGCCCTCCCCGACCAATCACTAATTGAGAAAATGCCCTACAGCTGGATCTTATGGAGGCATTTTCTCAATTGGGGTTCCCTCTTCTCTGATGACTCTAGCTTGTGTCAGGTTGACATAAACCTAGCTGGGACAGGGGGTTATAAAAGAAAAGAGAACAAGAAAAAGAAAGTGATCCTAATATCTAATAAAATAGACTTCAAACTAAAATCAATCAAAAGAGATCAGGATGGACA